AAGGTCCCACAGGAAGTCTGTGGAGGAGCCATGTCCTTCCTCTGAATGAGATTTATATCTTGATATCACAATGCAGAAGTTTTTTTCTTCAAAATAAACAGTTAAAGGTGGCAACCCCTGTTTCCAGTCCTTACATATGAACAACATACCCTGGGATATTTTCTTCTGCAACAAGCCTATAATTAGTGGGAATGGCATGTGTATATCAAGAGAATAATATAACTCCTTAGACACACTTATGGCCTTTCAAGACACTTGCTTTGGTTTTACTGGTTAGATATGTTGCGTCCTTAAGGTACATTTATAAGGTGGGCATACTAGAGTGCTGAGAGGGCACAAGGAAGTTTCTCTCCCCTCAGCACAACAGTGCAGGCACAAGAACTAGTATCCTAGAAAGGGGTGTCCTAACGGTGTCACAATGGGGCCATCGCCCTGATACATCCTAATCACCACGATGGCTGAGCTTGGAAGACAAACTGGCTCCCTTTGTTGCAGAAGGAGCCTTTCCCCGCCTTCTCCCTTAGCTTAGCCCAGCCTCTTGGGAGCCATAACTGAGCCCCTCAGCCCTCACTTTCCCCTGAGAGTGATAACACTGTAGTTATTTTTCGTTTTAAAAAAATCCACTTGCAGTTTGATCAGGATCCAAACTCTGAGTGATAGTGATAAATGTACTGCTGTCCTCCTCACCCTCCTTCCATTTTTCAGATTCTGGTGTGGAGACTTCTGAATGGAGGCATCAATTTCCAGGACAACAACAAGGGGTTTCAATCTCCGATTATTTAATGAGGAATTATAAATAAACAGTACTTCTTCAGAGAAGCTCTATTCGAAATCTCTGTGGGATCCTAAAGGACTCCAGAATTGAAATAACTCATTGGCTCTACAGTCCTTAGTAAACACAATTTAATCTAAGAATAACAAGACGTTGTTATGAAATGAAAAATAATCATTAAAGCCATGTGGCACAATGGTTTAACGTATAGCATCAATAGACCTGGCTATACCAAATTTAATTAAGGATTTTTATTTGCGGCAATAAATTATCACCCAAGGTGGAATAAAGTTATTCAATTTGTTAGCATTCGGTTTCATTTAGGTGTACAATTAGTGGGTTTATCCTATTGCAAAATAATTCAGCTAAGAAATCAGAGCACCAACAAAGAGTACAACTGAATCTATTAACAATCTTCAAACACTAATTGGATACAGCTCTGGACAGGACATTTTATGTGTGTCATATTTCTCTCTCTCTCTCACACACACACACACACACACACGTGTGTAACCATTTAGTAGAAATGATTGGTTGAATGCTACTAATAATAAAAGCAGTATTTTTTTACAGACATCACCAAGGGCATCTTTTAGTAAAGATGCAAAGAAAAAAAAAGCTATCAAATCTTCTCTTTTTCTAAAGAGACCATGCAGAAGCAATTTCTTCATTAGCCTCATGCTGGTTCCTTATGTGTTCCCAGTAATCAGGGACCAAAATGGATCACGAATATGGCACCCAAGTGGTCCTATTGCCAAGCATCTTTTCCCACTATTTAAACTAGTGGGCAGTGTGGGTGTAAAATGCTACCACATTGTCAGCGTAAGCAGACAGAAACTAATCTGTTGACAACAAAAATCCAATTTGTGTATCACTATAACATTTCCCTGGCGGGTAGCCAGGGGTGTGAGGCACCTCGCTACCACCTGCCCTTAGTGTGAGGAAGCCTTGTCTGTGCTTGCCGGGGTCAGCTCCCCACCTCTGTCAACTACAGGCAACACAAGCCCTCCCCTCTAGGCCTAAGCAGGCCGCGCTATCTCTCTCCAAGTTAGCGGCAGGCACACTCCAACCCCAAGCCCTCCAAGTGGCTCCCTGGAGTGTGCAGTCCCTGTTCCATTGCACACTGACTGTATTCACAGATTCACCACTTCCAAAGATAGGGTTACCATACGTCCGGATTTTCCCGGACATGTCCGGCTTTTGGGGGCTCAAATCCCCGTCCGGGGGGAAATCCCCAAAAGCCGGGCATGTCCGGGAAAATCGGGAGGGCTCGGCCGGGGCCTCTTTGTCTGGGGTCGCCGGTGCGGGGCCGGGGG